TGTCCTCGGAACTGAAAATTGCACCAGCGCACTGCGTAAGCGCGTACGGCACGTAGCACGCAGCAAATGGGTACGATCGCCTATCTGCACATTGTGCAGGTGGCCACGTGACCTCGGCGTACCCCGATGACCTCGGCCCTTTGCTGCAGCGGGCTACGGGTGTACGTGGGTCAGCCGAATGCAGGATCATCAAGGACTCGTGCCAACGGAGGACCGGGATGGGTATCTCGCTTTAGAGGTCATTTTGGTCTGAATTTCAAAGAAGTCAAGGCTTTCTAATTTCTTCATGACTTTGCAAAGGACCCGAACCTCACGGATAGGTCATCCCAATAGTTCTCAGAGCTCGGGTGGGGAGGTGCGTTGTTTTTGCCCGGCCCGGCGGCGGTGACACACGCACTGGTGTACCGTTTCGGTTCCGCCCGGCCGGCCGGTCGGTCGGCGGGCTCCCGTCGCCCGGAAGCCAGCCGACACCTGTTGGAGCGACATCCGGCGGGGACGGCCGCTCCATCGGGTCGGCACTGCGGTATCAGTTTTTATATCGGCACCGCCCCGCCGCCCGCCGCCGGTGGCGGGGTGAGTGTCGTGTCGGGTAGACTGGCGTCCCTCGGCCTGTCGCGCTACTGTTGGTGGCAGGGTGGTAGGTGGGAAAGGAGAGACTGTAGCGACTTCTGGCTACCGAGCGCAAATGAGGCTGAGTTGGGCTTTAAAGCGTCCGTACCGAGCTGCAGCGACCATTGCTATCTATCGGACATGCCAAGAGGCACGAAAGGGATGAGGTTTCAAAGTGGAAATTTTCGGCGGAAGTCCTTCACCTGGACGGCACGTGACCAGCCGTTTGGAGATAATTACATCCGACCTTGCCACCTGCTCTCCCACCCCTCCCTCTCTCGGCCTCCCCGTCCTCCACCCCTCTGCTCTTCACATACAGAGGACGGAGGTCAGCAAACAGCACGTGCCGCCTCTAAACACACCCTCCACTTTCCGCCCACGCCGCTCTCCGCGTGTCCTGTGTCAATCGCTCTCCACTCTCCCTTTCCACTCCTCTACTCTCTCCTGTCCTCTCTCCATCCTCAGTCAGTCCACTGTTCCCTCCCGTGGCTCCCCAATCTTCCGTGTTCCTCCCTCTCACGTGTGGCGCCCGTCACATCATCAGTGACAAACGTGTGTGTGTTGCACGCGCGGGGGTGAGCTCGCGTGCCTCTGCCGAATTTGTCGTAATACACGTCAAGGGAACAGCACTCTTTGGTGTACTATTGGAGGGTGTTGCTGCTATCACATCGTATAGACGAGCTGACGTTTTGTTAGGTAATACAGCCGTCGTGAACTCTTATCCTACTAGCCCTTGTGGGAAATCAGGGAAGTGGAGAGATAGCCATTTGTGAAACGTAGTATGTTTTGATAAGAAAAAGCGTAGGCGATAAAACGCTAGCCGTTATGCATTGAATAGCGCAAGGTATTCCCGCAAACTTGTTCAGACCACCTTAGTATTTTTCATGTTCCTAAGAAGGACCTTCCGTAAAGGAAATTGATCATTTAATGATTTTGAAGAATCACCTGGCGACATTTACATACTGTCAACATCCACTAGCGTACCACCATAACTACAATCGTGACACTCGCTTGGAGACGAATTTCTCACCGCAGTGACAACTGCTCACTGCAGACAAATACGTTTCCATGAGAGGAAGTCCAGCGCTGCGCCGACGCCGTGATGTCGTGATCGGGAAATGGTCACGATGTGATGCAGATGTCTCTTTGGAGTGATGATGCGGTAGCTCGGAGCGACACCGGAGCGCAGCGCCGAGCGTCACGTTCGGCCAAGTCGGTCGGCCGCAGTTAGTTCGTGAGGAAGTGGTCCGTGGGAAATCTGACGACTGCCTGCGGAGTATCGTGGGTGCTGCAGCCGTCCCAGCGACCGGTCAGCGTCCCAGGAAAGTCTCCAGCAACGGCCCAACGCACTACTGACGTCCTATCTCGCCCCACCAACGTCATATCGTCCCACCGACATCCCGTCGTTCCTGCGACGTGCTATCGTCAAACCAAAGTCCTATTGCAAAACCATTGTTCCAACTTTCCACCAACCGTCAATTCTCTCATCAAAGTCCAAGCATCCCCAAAAAGCAGGGCCTAGAATATGTGTAGGTCATTAACAGCGTTTTGCCTTTCCGCATTAGCGATACATCCATGTATGCAACGCTCACGTTACGTGCTGTCATTTGCAATTTATATGAAAATGAGTAGCAGCACATCGTGCGGTGCTATTACGGCTATAAACGCTTCCATAACTTACTACTGAACTGCGGCCCGCTGCCAGAGGTGTTTGCCGGAAGCTACATTGCAAAACGTCAGCAGAAAACAAAGACATGTCCCCCGTTGTATGTGAACACCTTGTAAAGACAATTTAATGAGCTACATTAACCGGCAATTTATTGGCTGTTAGGCCCTCGTGCAAGGTGTCCGGATGCGGCATGAAAAATGCAGCGCAACTATCTCGATCATAGGCGAGAGCTTTGCATAAACGCAGGAAGGCTTGGGGTTTCACCTGGATACATTCGCTTCTTCCTTTGTTGATTTTGTCGGTGCTATGTACCGACGTCCGCATATACATTCCAATTTATAGCTTGTCTGTAATGACAAGTCGTTTATGAATATCAGACTTGATGCAATGCGAATGTTGTAAAGGTGAATGCTGCGAATGTTGTTATATACGAGTATAACACCTGGTTGTATACCATAGTTAGGTATATGAAAGGTACCACCTTGGTACCTAGACGTACCAATATCGTGTAGTAAGGTAAAGAAATGACACGTAGGACAGGAAACACCATCGTAAGGGGACCAGCCCCTATGGATCGCACTACTCGGGGCTCACACCCCACTCGGCGAGGGGCGGCCGCAAACGATCGGCCGCACGGAAGAGGAACATTATCTAAGTTTTATTTCTCACTGAATTAACTCGGCAATTCGTCACGTTTCAAATTAAAGCGGTTTGTTGGTCGGGACCGATTTTTATTCTGTCTGCCGTGGTGCCGTGTATCGACCCTCGCGGTGTGTCCCACTCGGTAAACGTCGGCGTGCGGTGGTGCTGCCTGCGGTGGCGGCAGTGGCGGCGGTGGCCGCGGTGCTTCACGCTCAAATGAGCTCTGACAGGGCCCGCCGCACCGCGCCGAACGCTCAGCACACACACACGGCACTCGCAGTACCGGCCGCCGCCGGCCGGCGAACAATAGCAGGATGTGAAAACCGTACCGGTATCGTCGCATGACGGCGCACCGACTATCTTCTGCCGCATCGCTCTGGTAGGACCGACCACGCCCTGTGCGAGCGAACGAATTTCTATGTAGAAAAAACGGCGTCAATTAGAAGCTGAAAGGCTCTCGTGTTTTGCTACTTCGTGGAGTTAGAAGGATGGGATAAGCTTGAATATTTGTATGGGATAACGATCACTGCGACATACGATAAGACTTGATAAGTGCGATATGCATACGAACAAGTCTCTCTCATGTTCCCATTAGCATACAGGGTGTAACGAAATTATCCGGACATCTATTTTTTCGCCATATCTGCTCGCACAGTTTCTCTTTTAATGTCAGAAGCTGGAAAATTGGATGAATGCATACCTCTGGTATCTGCTCTCAACTCAGCAGTGACCTGACCTTGCGAAATGACTCTTGCTCTGAGTAAGAATCGAGTCGCCGACGGGTTCATTTGACAGTTTTCGTTTAAGGCAGTGGAGAGAAAGGAGTACAGTCTCTCGTTTCGTAGTAAGGCTACGTGTTGGTGGCATGGTGGCATGAGCCAGACGCTGGTCTGTCAGCAGCTGGACATCAGCAGCAGCCATATAGGACATCTGCCTGAGGCGTAATAAGCTGGGACTTGGTGGCAGACTCAGCCCGGCCTCGATCGCAAAAGGCGCCCTTTGCCAAGTGGTGAGGAGAGTTGTCAAGATAGCGACAAGGAAACGGCACCAATTAATCCGCATACTGACTCGAATTCTTACCAAGGCAGATAATAAGAGGTCCCACATCATGATTCACCGTTACCCGCCCTTTAGCTTGGTTTTACTGCCCTTCAAACTGGAAAAGACAATGAAATTGACGGGAAAACAACCAGTCCACCATATTTGGCTTCAGGCCAGGGCGTGTCCACTGGTCGAAGGAAGACACGAATGAGGTGACCTGGTCGGATGGGAAGCTGTTCGAGCTGCGATACCCGTTGAACCGTCAAATCGGCCATGTGTGGACTGCCAGCAGCTCGAATGTGCCGGCCGTCGCCGGCGTCAAACATCCGGCCAAAATCCAGACCTGGAGCATGTTCAGCTGCTGTGTAATATTCAAGCTGTTCATGACGACACAGAAAACCACTATCAGTGACGAGTATTACCGGCGCAACATCCTGGCTAGCGATTGGTTGGAGCCACTCAACCAGACGGCACAGGATGGCTCGGTTTCTCAACGTGTACCGATGCCTGATTCAAGCCGCGCAGTCTTCATACGGGGCGGCGCACCACCTTTGAGTCCCTAGCAGAATGAGAAGTGATGCCTAGAGGACCTTTTTGTTCTTCAGGGCTAAAGGGCTATGGCTTGGAAATAGTTCCCATGCAATTCCATCGATATATCATGGACTATTGTCCATCAGGAGATGAATGAGGGGACACCCGCCACCAGCGCCGCCCAACTGCGGGCACAGGTTAGTAAGGCGCTACTCTATATGAAACCCACTGTGCTGGAAAATCCAGTGGCTGGAATGCTCCAAAAATGTGTACCTGCGCCCATATGAAAGGTGGCTATATAATAATTCAAAAGGGAAAATATCAGAATGTCTTGCTTCTTAATTACAGCGCGAAGAAAGATGTCCGGATAATTTCGTTACACCCTGTATATCTGAGGCAATTGTCGTTGTCTTTGTGTGAACTGTGTAAATGACCCCCCAAATTTCCCAAATTGCTCATTATCTTGTACTTCTCAGATATCGTCTCAGAACCAGTCGACACCAGTGGGTTCATTTTAAATTGTATTTTATATCCATCCTACAGGAGAGTAACAGCATCATATGTGCAGTATTTACATTCACGAACTCACAAACCGTAGCCGAGCAGGAAAAAGGCGGCGTGCTTTGATTCCGTGTCAAAACATAACATCCATATATACGTGTCACCGCCCCGGCCGAGGGTTCGGCCGCCGCTCCCACGGTCGTCCCGTCGGTCCGCGTCCCCCGATGGTGAGGTAGCGCGGCGCCCCCGGCCGGCCACAGCCGACCTGTGAGAGCGCCGCGCGTGCGTCTGTGTGGTGAGTGTGGGACAGGTAAGGCGGTGGCAGGCGCCCGCCGCGGCCGACAAAAGTGTAACATGAAGAGCACAACACTAAACACTGGGCGCTGTCGGCGCACGCGCTCGTGCTCACACGCAGTCACACGCACTCGGCCGGGAGACAGCTGAGATCAGGAGACCGGGTCGGCTCGGCGGACCGGCGCGCGGCCCGCCCGACCGACGGGGCTCCAAGAGACGGCCGCTCCGTCAACAACAACAACAACACACGTCGGCCACCGGCCAGCGTGGCCCTTCCCAGCAACACAAACGGCGCGGAGCCAGAGAGACTGAGAGTCGCCGTCAGCGGCGACGACCGAGAGACAGCGGCGGAGAGCGACTAGAAGGTCCTAACGTCTGCCAACGTCTCGTCCGAGAGACAGCTATCTCGGCGTTACGTATGTCAACTGATACGAGAGAAACAAACGCGATAATGAAACCGTTAAATTACTTGGCACACGACAGCAATACGCAACACATACTAATTTCATCCGAACACGCTCAATCGGCCGCGAGGGTAGATACAAAACCTTAATGTACACATAATTACCTACGAGCTCACCTCTTGACGCAGATGATATGCGTGTTCGCGCGTGTGTTTGTGTGTTTGTGTGTGCGTAAATACTCATACATGGCATGTACAAACAACACAGAATACACCGAACCCCACAGAGGGCACATCACACTCACGACCTGTTCCGACACCGGTCCGCCAGTCACCCGCGCTCGACTCTCTCTCTCTCTCTCTCTCTCTCTCTCTCTCTCTCTCTCTCTCTCGCTCTCGCTCTCTCGCTCACACCGCTCTGCCTACCTGTGTGTCAGTTAATTTACCCTGCTGTCCACAGTATGGCCTCTGGGATTGCTGCGGTGCTGCGTCTCGCGCCTCGCGCCGCCCGCCCCAGTGTCCCCTCGACTCAGCCGCTGCCGGCTTCTATAATACTGGTGCGGTTCTACGGCATCTGATACCGAACATATCCCGCTGCTGGGTGTCAAACTATGGCTCGGGAGCGGACAAATGATCGGCAAAATATTTAGGCGGAGAGCTAGCCCGGTAACGCAAATTGACAGGTACTCCGCAAAATTTGCACCGTTCTTTTGCTATTGGTGGAAAAAACATAGTCAAATAACAGTAACTTCGTCGAGGCTCTCGCCGAACCAGTCCAACAAAACCCATTAACAGGTGTGCTGGACTGGGGCGCAGGGCGGGACGGTTCCGGGTCATTTAGGGGACTGGCCCGGGACCTCTCTGCCGAGAGAGATGCCGCCCCGGGACCCCGGGACCCGGGGCCTCCTCGAGGGCCCGGCGCCGGTCCCGGGCCGTGGGCTCAGGGCCTGTATCACACGTGTGTTGTCTAGGGGCGCGGCGGCCCCGTGTCGTCGGCCGCTCACATGTGGTGCGCCAGCGACATAGCTGCGGCCGTCTGCTGGAGGCCCACACCGGCCGCCTCGGGGCTACCCTGCATCTGGTGGTGGTAGGGCGGCATGTACTTGTGCTCGGCGGCGTACTTGGCGGCGGCGGCGGCGGCGGCGGCCTGCTCGGCGGCCGCCTGGCCCGGCAGGTACATGTTGATCATGCTGCTGAGGTCGCCCTGCTGCGGCGGTGCGCCGTACTCGCGCTTCATGGGCGCCGCGGAGGCGGGCCCCACGGCCGGCGGGGTGTCCGAGCGCATGCTGCTGGGCGAGTGGGCCGGCAGGCTGGCCGGACCGGAGCCCATGCCGCTCTGCATGCCGCTGTACGGACTCGGGCTGCAACAGAGACAGGGAGAGAGGGCTGGTCAGAGGAGCGGCGGGTAAAACGTAAAACTGACACAGAAAGCGGCGATGACACCAGACATGAGACGAAACAACAGACATAGGGCGAATGGTCAGAATAGTCAGCTGGCGGCTGATACATACCAAGCACAGTATACCGGGTGGCCCAGAAAAAACGTTCCCAACTTTAAATCAATATTTCTCAGAAAGTGATAAAGATACAACATTGAAACTTCAAATAGTTAATGCGGCACACATTTTCAGTAAATGGTGTGATTTTCATGGTGCTCGGTAAACAACTTTTTAAACGGTTCGTGTTTCAAGCATGCCATGTAAAAATTACTTTTTTGCTCCGATGTTTACTAAAAAATGTGAGTGAACGGGTCACTTTCACCCCGCGGCACCGCGGCCTAGAGCCATGACTTCTACTGGCAGCTAGTCTCATTGATGGTTCGGGTCTCAGGATGACACATTCCCTCAGGCAACCACGATGGCTCTGTGCCAGCGGCATCGGAAGAAGTTTCCAGTTTTCTAACCATCTTGTGGCTCAAATGCTTTCCTGGCTGACATTCCAGGGAAGATGTAGCTTTTCAACCAGTTTTTTTTTTGTCATCTGCTGGCAATGTTGTTTTTCATAAGCTATTCTTTGGTCTTCTGGCACAGGAACCAGTCTGCTTTAGTTTGTTTTCCTTATCCGGTCGATTTACTGTTTGATCTACTGAAAGGAGGGTAATCAGCAGTAATCCATGCACCGTGCCACTCCTACTCGAAACATGATTTGGTGTTGAAACGAATGACATCCATGAGCACCATTTTGGCTCAGTATTTGAATATTTGGCACATAAGTGAGACAAAAATATTTAAAATTAGAACACACGTGTTGGTTTCATTCACGTGCTCTATTTTTCATTCTTTTTTATAACATGGGACGTCTAACCCAACCATCACTATCGTTTGACATCGGCAAAAAAAAAGCAAAAACGTCTTGCTTAATTCAACTCAAGATTGCCAGCTTGAAAATGATGGTATAGCGTTATAATTTGGCATGCCAATGCGCAAAGAAATGACGCAAAGTTGATGAAAATTTTCACTCGTTATTTGTACTCATATTTGATATATAGGCCTCCAAAGTTCGGAACGTTTTTTCTGGGCCACCCGGTATATAGTAACGCATACCGCAACTAATGCTTACACTTCCTAATCCTACCGCGACAAGACGTAGCTTCACACACGCACGCAGTCGTCTCCCCTCGAACGCTCACCTGTTTGTATACATGACGTTGTAGCTGGATCCGTTCATGTAGCCCATGCTGGAGGTGGTGGGCGGCGTATATCCCCGGCCGGTCATCTCGTACTGGCCGCCGGCCGTCATGTACGGACTGGCCATGTAGCTGCCGTAGGCGGCGGCGTGTTGCTGGTACGCCGCAGGGTCGTACGTCGGGTAGCCTGAGGGAGAAAACGGGAGAGTTTGGTGAGTTTAGATTTATTTGGATACGTGTTTAAGCGAGTGTTAACTAAATGAAAACATGACAATATGTTTGAAATTCGGGGATATGTTGGTAGAAAAGCTGAGGAATGGTTTATGTACGCAAGCGTGTATCATTTTAGGATGCGTCATCAACGAAGACACTTCTGCGCAGGGCTGCGGAGTCGATGGATTTTCGGCAACTCCGACTCCAACTCCGACTCCGGCTTTCAAAAACCAGCTCCGACTCCGACTCCGACTCCGGGCAGAATTGTCGACTCCGACCGACTCCAACTCCCGACTCCGACTCCGCAGACCTAGCAGGGCTGCGGAGTCGACAGATTTTCGGTGACTCCGACTCCGACTCTGGCTCGGGTTTCTAAAATCGACTCCGACTCCGACTCCGACTCCGGTCACAACTGTCGACTCCGACCGACTCCGACTCCGACTCCGACTCCGACTCCGACTCCGCAGCCCTGCAGTTCTGCGGCGAGTTTTTGCCACTTGTTCCATGGGCCGGTCGTTTGCACGGTGACAGAACAAGTTCGACAGGGGGGCGGGGTAGACGGGTGGGGAGATAACGGCAATGACTGTGCAGCCGGCCCGGCGGCCGCCGGCGGCGCCGGCCGCCCGGGCCGCAGTTACAGCCTCGGCGGCCGTCGCCGGCACCCCGTAAAGTTCACACGCTCCGATCATGAATCGCGGGATGAGGGCGTCGATAGGCGTGCCGCGGGGCGCTGGCGGCCCACCCAGGGCGGCCGCGGCGGCGCCGTCTCTCTCTCTGTCTCTGTCTCTGTCTCCGGCGGCCGTCTCTGCGGCGGTGGAGGTCAGCGCTGCACGGAGCGGTCACAATTGGCCTGCTCTGCACACCCCCCTGTTTGCTCTCGACGTGAGAGGAGCGCGCGGTCCGCGCCGGCTCCGGTTGCAGCTCGAGGGGCGCCGGAGAAGGGGGGGGGGGGGGTGACCGGGTCCGTGCGACCGGCCGAGGGTGTCACGTAGGCGCCACGAGCTGGTAATTCCTAGAAGGGAGACGTCCAGCAGTGAGCCCAAGGAAGGCAATAGGACAGATCAGCGGCCTGATCAGGCAGAAGTCTAGGCAGAGAGCGGATGCAGAAACTCAGGCGATATGAGTAAAATGATGTTTTAGCCTGGTGTGACGTAAACTGGTAGAAAGCAGCTGGAAGAGAATAGTTTGTAGACTCCAGACTTTGTAAAAATTGAGCCGCCTTTCAGAAGTCTCACCGGATGACACGGCTGTCTCTGTTGGTCGCGTGCAGATTGCGTAGAACCCTGAGCTATTACAGGAGTCTGAGCGGCCAGAGAGTCTGCGAGTCTGAAGTCTGACCGGATAATACCGGGAAGGTCGTCTCCGTCGGTGGTCGCCCATCTAGCGTCGTTTTTAGCGGCTGGACGGGCGGGCACTGACGGTAATCCGCCGTTTGCGGCGGCTCTCTGTCCCTCGCCGTCGACTCACCGTCTCCCGACGGCCGTTTTTGCGAGACCGTAAATCCGCCACCACCGCCAGACGACACGGTGTGCGTTTCATGGCCGCGTTTACCTTCTCCACAGTCTCGCCGCCCCCAGGGTCGACTTCCCTAGCTCACTTTCAATTATCGCGAGCCATTAGTGCGACCGTAAAGACGCCGCCAAGTGTTGCAGAATTGCTGGGGAGTTAGAGCTGTACGGTGGGTGTAAAAGTCGGGCATGGTTGTGTTTGAAGGTGCCGCACGGAACGCGAGACTGCTTCTGGGGCGGCGGCGGAGATCTGTCATCAGCGGATCACAGCGTGACGAGATGACGGTCCGTGACGCGTCACGTCAGAGCGTGACGGCCGAGCGTCGTGAGTGATGGTAGCGGAACGGAGGCGGTGGCGGCAGGAATGTTGGTGCAGGATGTGTGGTGATGAGGGGCAGAGAGTGCTCCGGTCGGAAGCAACAGAGCAAAGAGAGGCTGCACCAATAAGTCCAGACAAAAAATTCAGACTAGGCAGAGTTTGTTTCCGTGATCATGACACGATCACAAGAACGAAATAAGGATCGACGGGCTTTGTCTAAAAAAATTCGCGCCGTGCAATGATGAAACCCGACTTAGCTCAGTCGATCGGAGGAGGCTCAGCTGACTAGTGAAGCAGAGACAGGCGACGTGCCCACTGCCGACGGTTTGGGCCGCCGAGCGGTGCCTATTTTCCGCGCGCTGCCGATGGCTGTTTGCTGTACGCGCCGCGGCCGCGGAGGCGGTGCCAATGTTTGCGCCGCGTGTTGGCTGTGCTGTTTGAAGAGCTCTGTCTCCACACAGCTCTAGTGTTTGTGGTGGCGCGACTAAATAGTTCACCGGTCGCTGGCAACTCATCGCCAGGCATCACTGGCGGTCGCGGCGACTTCTGGGTGTCCCAGTGATGCTTCTTCGGCCGTGCTTCCTTCGGTTGCGACTGGATACCGTGGGAGTTGTTGATGATCTATTGGACAAATTTGATATAGACAAATTTAGATGTTTAATTGTCATCATAATCTGCTTTTAGTCATATCATGTGACCCAATACCGATAAACCGATTAGCATAAAATGAGTAGTCCACAGTAAACCATTTCGGTCATCACATCAATTCATCTTCAGCATCAAACGCTGCCAAAAGGTCGTCTTTATCCCGAGTGCCAACACCTCTCAATGGCCAACAACAGTATTACGTGAGCACCGTACAAAATTTCTGTTTTTATACGGTCCTCGTGTTCACCCATTGCCACTGGATCACTGTGTCAGCAATAGGGAACAGGTGAACCGTCACAAAAGTGGCCAAACAAAAAGATTGCTATCATGAGTCCATTCAGAGAACAAAAACATTCCTGACTTTTGTGTGCGAGTGAGCCGGCCCAGTCTGGCTATGAATGGAGTGCAGTTTGGCGCCGTAGTACTACGGCCACCATTGATTCCCCGGAGAGACACAAAGGAGCGACACGCGCCGGCCGGCACCGCTCGCTCTCTCAATGAACTCTCCTTGTCTCTTTTCTGCTCCTCCGGCGCCAACAATCGCTCTGCTTCTCATTCTTTGAGAGCTGCCGCCGGCGCCAGACAAAATAATAGAAAAGGACGCAAGTTTACGCCGTGTTACTATGGGAAGCTACCAGACGGTGTCTGTGATTCTCACAATGAGCCTAACTTTGTGGTGGCAAACAAAACTGGTTTGTTTAGGAAAGCACCAAATTGAAAAGGTGACACTGAAAGAGAAATTCATCTGAATGATTGCCATTTTTACCGATGAGTGCCGATTGATTCACGTACAAGCGACAGTCTAAGGTAAGCAGCAAGGTAACAGTGGCCAAAGAGAGCTCCTGCTTTCCGTTTGAGGCTCCAAAGGAAAATTGCAACGCTTGAAAGACACTTGATCTTGTAATGCTGACATGGACCAGCAGCAAAAGCTACCGTACTGCCGTTTCAACGTCTTCCAAATTCACGCTACACAGCCTCAGCTCCCCGGGCCGTGGCTCACAGGAAGTAGTGGTCGCCACCGGTCACCACCGACCAGAAAAAAAAAATACAGCGGTGTCCACCCTCCCCTTTCAAACGGTTTGCGCCGGGTGGACGACTACAGTTAGGAGTTGGTAGTATGCGCCCGGTATTCGGGGCCTGAGGTCGAAGCCTTCGTTTGGAGAAAAGCAGTTGGAGTCGGTCGTCGAGGCTTGAGTCGGGCGCGGGTTGGCCGTTCGGCCGCCCGGTGATTCGCTGTGTCGCTGCCGCCGGGACGGTCACCCCGGCGTGTCTCTGTGGCCGGGGCGGTCACCCCGGCGTGTCTCTGTGGCCGGGGCGGCCGTCACCCCAGCGTCCCCAGCGGTCACCGTCCAGTGCCCCTGCCCCTCGGGCCGGGACAGCGGATGGCGCACCTGCCCCACCCCAGCGGCGGCACGGCTCACCTGTGGCGGCTGACACGCCACCCACCTCCCCTCCGTCCTGTCCTCGGCGCCGCGCGGTGACACGCCCCGACCCGGCCGACCCGGCACACACAGGTGTGTGCGGCGGTCCTTCTGCCGGCTGACAGTGCCGCGCGCCAGGAGCAGGCAGGTGACAGCTGTCAGCTGACAGAGGACGCACGCTGCCACCAGCTCCGAGCCGAGCCAGAGGGGGTCGGATCTCTGACAGACAGTCTGACTAGACAGACAGCAGCAGTCATTAGTCTTTAAATAAGATAATTTTTTAATGACTCCGAATCGTCTTGCTTCATTCGATTCCCAGAAAACAAATCCCTTGTATTTGTAAAATAAAACGAAAAAAAAAACTTCCACAATACCGGTAACACCTGCTGGATAGAGAGCGGAAGCGGAAAAGCGCGAGCCAGGACCGCCGCTCCGCCCTCTGAGGTCGGTCGTCACCGTCTCTGTCCCCACCGGCCATCCGACCGTCTCTCACAGGTCGGCCGGCCGCGCGAGCGCGCAAACAAACACATAAATAATTCTAAATCGCCGTGAAGGCGACCCTAACCGGAGTGTAAGTGTCATAATGAGCCCGTGGAGACTCGACCGGGGCGCGACCCCGCCGTACTCCGGTGACAGATCTGAGCCCACGGCCGGCGGTAAGTGCGGCCCAGGTGGACCGACACCGCCGCCGCCCCGTACTCCGCCCTCTCTCACCTCTCTCACGGTGAGAGCAGAGAGTGAGATGGAGAGCAGTTTTGAGGGAGTAGTTCAGAGAGCGAGATATGTCTGATTGTGTGTGACAAAGAAGGTCAGGGAAGAGATTGTGACACTTAAAATATTAAAATAGGAATTTTATCCAGCCTTGTGTCCTAGGCCTAGCTGTAGGAAGCAAGCAAACAAAATTTAAATGGCACTACCCAAACAAGGCCAGCACAACATCCTTTCTGGAGCGTGGAGCATATCCAGTTGCCTCATCCTTTACGAAGCTCTGGCATTGTCGTTAGGTAAAACAAACGATAATCACTCCACACCGTTGTGTAAGTCTGTAAAGTCCATGCCCTTTTTACATCAGGCCATCTCAGCACGTTCCTGGCCGTCTCTGATCTCGGTGCTCCAACAGCGGTCACTGTGCGCTAGGTCCGCCCGTCTCGCCTTGAAGACAGTCTTGTCCGTCTCACCTAAAGACAGCCGTCTCCCGTCTCGCCCTATAGCCCGTCGACCTGGGCGGGCACAGTCACCCCGTGTGAGACCGGCACTGATGGTGCGATCCTATCGTCTCGGCTGACAGGCGACCCACCGTCGACTACTAAATGGCCTCCTTATGTCGGGTAGTCAGATGGTGACACCGATATTCGCCCGGGCCGGCTCCCGTGCCGCCGACTACGCGCCGCGACGGAGGACGGAGATGTCTGGGACACCGCGGACATGACCAGACACGACCAGACAAGGGATGTCTTTGGTTAGACCCAGTCGGACCGCCAGTTGTATTCTACACAAGGCGTCAGGCTGTCTCGGAAGAAAGCAACAACGATGTCCTATAGACGGGTACGTTTCGGACATCTTGCTTGATGATCATTCCGTTAAAAACCTTTGCCGGATGGTTACCGGACATTCTTTACCCGGAAAATTGCATCTCGTAGGAGAAGCGCAATAAAATCAAATTTTAATTTGTAAGCCCATTCTGTCTAAAAACGTTTGTTCACAAACCTTTTGAGAGGAATACTGGTACTCGTTGCAGCAGCAGCAGCAGCAGTAGCAGCAGCGGACGAGAACAGTTTTGCCATCCCCTATTGCGACACCGTACCCTGCCCCCGCCCCCCCCCCCCCCTAGTGACGACACTGCACGGCTTCAACTGTCGCTGATTGGTCTGAACTGACGCCAAATGTCGGCGCGCTGAACAGCGCCAAACTGAGACCGATTGGATCGACGGCGGAACGCTCCGCAGCCTTTGTTGCACGTTCGCCTGTGTCGGCAACGGGGACAGGCCTGCTACGGTCCAGGAGGGGAGAGGAGGGACCGGGACGGGGTCGACCACGGGTGTCACAGTGTGGAGCTTCACCCGAAGCCGGACACATGAGAACGGCTAAGCCTACCGGGAGGCTTCAATCATTTAATCAAAATTGTAATCAGTGATAATCCAACATCAAAGATTCTTAGCGAAGCCCTCAACAGACTATCATTTTTGCATTAAAAAATAGGAAAGAAATCCAACATGCTACGAGCAGCCTTTTTAATGAATTGAACTTCAAATCGATATTCAGAAAATGTAAGGCAATTCGGACAGTTTAGGTCTTTCTACTTTCTGTGCTATAAGATAATGCATTTGTCATCTAACAGCCTTACAACGCAAATGCAGGTGCCCATTGTTTTTTTTTGTGGAGCTACGATCGTCCAATTGACATGCACAATAATGCATCCTGGGTGCTATCAAGCATCCCTCCTATCTCCCATTAAATCCACTAACCGTTGGGCATGTATCCGTTGGGCATCTGGTACATATCCCGGGTCATTGCCGAAGCCTGAGAACGGGACGGATCGGCCTGCAGCAGACCTCCTCCCAGCGGAAACTTGTCCTTCTTCAACAGGGTCTTCGTCTTCCTCCGTGGCCTGCGGAGCGACAGAGAGAGGTCAGGTCACGGGTTAGATCAAAGGCTGTTGTCTGAAAGGTGACCGTGACGGACCGGATCACATATCATGTCAAAGGGTAAGACGGAAGGGGCGAATAATATGGACAACTCGACACTTCTTACTGACATGTATGAACATTCTACTGTGATATAAATTTATAAATAACAGCCATACACACGAACAACGTAACAGTGAAGCACGAGAAGGCACGGAGTACATGCATGCACCAGATAAAAGAAGCACATCAAAGAAGATCACTGAGCTAGGCCTCAATGAAGTCTCTGACGATCAGGTCCACCCGGCGGCAGTTTGGTCTGGCCACTCGGCGGACCATGACAGCGCCGGGTCCTCCGCCGCCCCTCCCTCCCTCTCCCTCCGCTGCCCGGCGGGTCTGATTGACTGCCGTTTCCTGCGGCCCGAGTACGTGCCCGTCACGTGGCGACGTGGCGCCGCCGACACGTGTCCGGCGGCCGGCGGCACGTGACCTGACGTCGGCAGCAGGTCCGGCTACCGGCGCGGCCGCGCGCGCGCGGTCACCGCCGCGCTCCCCTCCCCGGGCGGAGAGGGGGGGAGGGAGACTCAACCGCAGAGCAGCCTGCTGGCTAATCAAATGTAGAAAATGTGTTACTATGATGCACTCTACATTATTTTGGGTTGCAACGACCGGCTGAAAATAAGAATATGTGGCAATCCCTAGCAGTCATGATGCAAAACAATACTTGAACAGGATGAAGGTGCTCGTCGGACGTCTGAAAAATCAAGTGGTAAGGGGCACTTGCATCTATTCAATTGTTGCGCTTCAATCATTGAAATCTCTTCAGTCAAGGAATCTAGCATGGCCAGCAAGATAATTTTGAAACATCTACGCAGGTATTCCCTAATCTTTTTATTCCCATGAGGTGTTTTTGCAGTACACACAGGAATGACGGTAACACATGTTATTTCTCTCAATGAGCGGAAGCAAAACCACCACTTTGTTATTATTGAAGGTTCCATTGATTGTCAATACCACAATTCACTCCAATTTCTTCAAGGTTAGCAGTTAACTACTTAATGTTGCGCCCGTTGACGTTTTTTACTTGCTCAAGTTCCCACGTCGTTTCCACACCACCACTGCGTGGGTGGAGCCGCCAAAGTGAAAATCAAGCCGCCGACGAAAACTGCAAATTATCACCACCCAACAATGCTTCCAAATGCCACCTTTGGTCACATTTTTTCGTCACCTGGCCAAAAAAGCTGAGGCGGCACTTCCGGCGCGTCAGAGCCGTCAGCGGCGCGCCGAGATTGCCGCCGACAAATTACCCTCGAGAACGGGCCGAATAAACGCCGGTGAACAGACGGCGAACAATGGCTGCCGGTCGTCTGAGGCGTTAATTGCCCACTATTGCCCGCCGACCTTGCCCGAGGCTAAACAGAGCCTACCCGGCGGGTGGGTCAAGTCGCGTGGGTCGGAACCCCGGCTGGGCGACTCAGGCGGTAAAGGGAAGAGTGGTCAGACGGGACCGGTGAGCTCATGTTCAAACGGCTGATCATTCCCTGAGGAAGAAGTGAAACGAGCCAATAACAATACCGATTGAGGCTAACGTAAAATGGCTTCATAACGTAACATAAACCGGCAAATTTGAATGATGATTGGAAGCTACCCAAGAAGTGCAATCCATATTACACGCGCTCAATATCGTACCAATTTTTTAGTGGCGCCTGAGTCACCTGCGCACCTTCTTCGCTGATAACGTAAGTGCACGCAGGCACACGTATTTGCTCCAGGTAAACCATTAGACACCACGCATGGCCGTCAACATTGGCTCTATTTTTACTGCTGACTGGCAAAGTGGAGCACCTGCCTTCCTCTATTACTTCTAATCGATACCAATATGCAAACGTCAGCAAACATAAGTACGGCTGACGGAGGGCAAACGCCTGCCGATTTTCGGGATTACCAGACCCAATATCACTTATCCGGTGGCGGTGTGGCCCGCATTCATGTTTCGGCGCGTGCATCCGTCATATTCGTACAAATCCACCACTGCACAGTGCACAGACACTAATGGAAGCGTCTCTTGCCTTAACGCTAGCTCACGGCCTAATTCACTACGGCTACCGTCGAGCCGTAATTCCATCATTCCCAGTCACCGCGCTGGTCATTCGGCAAAGCGGTTGTAATGACAGCACCGACCGCCGCGGGGCGCGTTCGTCACATGCACTGACGGCCGCGACGCATTCCATCGGCCGCCGTCCACTCGGTTTGATTCTGGCCATCACTGGTCATCGCATCCATCACCCGCGGACGGTCACCCCAAATGTCGCCGTCGTCGACGACGATGACGACGGGCGGCGGCGGCGCGCGACACCAATCATCATCAGGGGACACGGCGGCGGTCGATCGGCAGACACTACCCGACCGCCGCCGGTTCGACGCACCATTACACACACACACCGCAAGTCACGGTACACCGGGACACACCTGCGGCCGGCGGCGGATACGGAGGGGTAAAAATCGCACAGGCGCCGTGCACTGGGACAGAGAGGAAGTTTGGAAATGAATGTCATTATAGAAAATACCAGAAGGTAGATGTATGTAGATTCAGGTTAGGTACATAAGCAGCAGTTAGTGGCTTTGGATTAGTGGATATAGCCTATGGCTTTGGAGGAATGAAAACTAAAGGTTATTTGGTAAGGCCATGCTGTCTGTCTTGTACGTCACTGGCTTCAGCTTCGATTAGGCATAAATTTCTTGCAAAATAGGCAGCCGGATGGGAAATGCAGGACACATCATATTGAAACGCATGCTATGAACCGTTAGCATTAGCAGGGATGACAAAATGAAGATGACATATGAGCTTGACACACTGCAGTTGGATCAGGATGATGATCGCCGCTGGGACGAAGGCTTAGAAGAAGCGGTAACACAAGTAGCGACGGGTAGCACCAAACACAACTTTCACCATCAGCACAACCCCCAGCAGCAGTAGCAGCTTCATCTCCCCAGTCTCAGCCTCCTGGCGTCATCACCGTCCAGTCTCCGGCCCATCGCTGTCCGCCGCGGGCGCCGTGTTACTTCCAGCCCGTGAAAATTCCCCACCACCGCCAGATGTGAGCTCCCGGCCGGTCGGCCGGTCTACCGACACCACATCGGGCCAGCCGGCCGGCCGGTCGGCCGGCTCGGCGGGTGCACGTGGGCCAAATTGGCTTTGCATGTCGGAGGCCCGTCGGTGGCCGGCGGCGGCGCACTAATTGTTCCAACAGTAGTTTATCACGAGTCGTGAGTAATGGCCCATCGACGGCGGTGACGCTGAGGCCGGTGAGCGAACCGATCCCGTCCAGACGAGCGAGGGACGCTGACAGAGGTAGGGCGAGACGGAGCGATGGACACATAGCCAGTGTCACAGGGATATCCACGTGCAGAAAATAAGGAATCACCAACAGTTGAAAATTGAAATAATTACCTAAGTTAACGTTCATCGAAATTGGTAAATATACCTCAGTCGTGGCAAAAATAGCTTCACTCTAAAACACGTTTACAAATGAGCTTAGAAGCACCTTAGCCCCAGTTCTGGTTATCACTCGACTGCTGCTGCGCTAGTTTCTTCCGCGAACCGAGGATATCGGTTGCCGACCACAAGTACACCGTCATCGTCAGAGCGGGCTGCCGAGGACGCCACGGCAGCCGCGCTCGATCGATTTCATTTTGCCGAGTCATCTGGCCCGCCCAAGGGCCGGGGCTGCGTGCCGTGCACCCTAAAATCGAACCAATGAAGCCGCGATGGATCGACAGCAAAGTGGTCTCGCTTGTGAGAACATCCAAGGAGAACATCCAAGGGTTCCCTGGGTCAAGACACTGAAGGAGCAGCTCTCATGCGTACAGCTTCATGACGCGTACTTGTTCCATAAATGTTGACTTACAGCGCAACCCAAGGATGGCTGATTTGGACTTAATCTTGAAAGATGCGTAAAGTTTTCGCAAGCGAGCATCGTGTTGTAGATACTATGCTTCCTGCTACACAGCTTCCACATCCACTCCTCAACACCACTTCGGGCTAGAGGCTACGCTCGTTCATCATCTTCAATTCTCTTTTCATCTTCTTTTCTCCATTTTCCGTACCGCATCGTTTCGTCATCACTACTGATTTGTATCCGACTTCATCTCAACCCACGCTCCTCGGAAGCCACCCCCACAGCTCTACCTCCCCACAGCTCTGCCGCCTCCGCAGCTCTGCCAGTTCCCAAGATGGCGTCGCTCCGCCGCCGCGGCCGACGTATGCAAACATCGGCCGTCTCCGGCAGCGTCGAATTATGCCCGCTGCAGCCAGCGCGCTGCATAAGTCGCGCGACAATTTTATCAGAGCCACTAATTCAATCAATCTGACAAAAACCGTCGTCGTCGGCGGTGATTATTTTTCGTTATCGGCCGCTCTGCGACGGCCGGTCAGCGCGGCGGCCAATGAACGCGTCACCAGCGATGCTTCAGATTCGCTCGCCGGACGAGGCCACGCCACGCCGCCGCGGTGGCCGCAATTTATGCGGAAGCCGGCTCCGTGGAGCGGCGCTGAGCGGCGCGGAGCGTTCGCCGACCGTCCCGCCGCGATTGGCCGCCGCTGGCGGTGCGAGGCTGAGCGGCCCTGCGCGTTTCTCGGTGTTATCAACGCGTGGGGCGCCGCAGCGCGCCAGGCCGCCGGGCCGCGCCGCCTCCGCGCTGAGATTAGAGCAGCGTGGGGCCGGCTCTGTTCCCACGGCGCCAGAGAAGCGGAGAGACGCGGCTCGGCCGCGGAACGCCAGAGCAAGCGAGACAATCACGAGCGGGAGACGACGACGGCGACCGAGCAGAGCGACGACCGGACAGGCGGTGGGAGCCGAGGAGAGAGGGAGAGAGAGAGAGAGAGAGAGAGAGAGGGAGAGAGAGAGAGAGAGAGAGAGAGAGAGAGAGAGAGAGAGAGAGAGAGAGAGAGAGAGAGAGAGAGAGAGGAGGAGTCCACGGAGGGGAGTCCATGGGGTGGGGACGGGATTCCACAGCCGGGACGCCACGCCGGGATGCGCTTCACCGGCGGACGGCAGGGAGGGGAGGACGGCCCGGAAAGCGGCACATTGCGTGAGAGCTGTCATTTGGGGCGGCCCAGCTGATGTCCCGCACACCGCGGCGGCCGCAGGCGATTAGGTATAAAAACGGAACTGGAACAGGGCAGGGCGCGGCCCGAGTGCACGACAGGGCACAACAGGCCGATACTGGACGGTGGAGTGTGGACCACGGCGATCAGCGTGGTACAGATTATGATATTCATATTTCATATCAAGGGCAACATCATAATTTTGAAGACATCTTTGGAGAAAGGTTACCATCACACAAATGCTTAAACAATTCAGCAGATATGTCGAATCACAGCAATGCAGTTGAACGGTAAAATACAAAAACAAAACAGCAGGGTTTAAATCGGCCAGTAAAACATCATAGGTATGCGTACCACTACACAGCTTTCCCCAGCGCACGCAGTTCCCCATCCAGGCGTAGGTACACAGATGCGGCGGACACCACACAGGGACGTTCCACCTGGCCCTCCCCTCCCCCTCCCCTCCTCCCCTCCCACCTGGCCGGGAGGCGAGGGCGCTGAGTTGGGAGCGGTCCCCCGGAACCCCACAAACCCACTGATTATCTGATCAGTTCGTGCCAAAAACAGCAGAGATTTGGGGGACGGTGCTGCCCCCGTGGATCCTGTCCGTTATCTTGGCAGCTGGGTGTCCGGAAATCGGTAAGGTGATGTCTTAGTTTATCTGATGAGTGAGCGGTTGTTACAACTGCGGCGTCTCTTTCCTATAAGAGGGCATAATCACGCAAAGTTTGGGAGTCAAACCGAATGGCTTCAAAGTGCTTTTGTCAATTTGGAGTTCTATGGTATGGGGATTGCGTACCTCTCAGCTTAGGGATTTCAGTGTGAAACATTGCGTTGTGTCTATGGGTAGCTTCCACGCTGTGATACAACCTACCCCAGCACATAAACCTCACAGGGCATCAGTCAGCACTTACAATGGCAATGGTCACGATTTCATAGCGTGGTAAGCGCATTCAGCCAACACAGATGATGCGCAATTTTACTGACCGCAGTTAAATAACACAAACCACGAATGACATCTGGCGTAACGCATTCTTCGAATAATCGTGGCGGGACATATAGACATAGGCAGTGATAAAACAATTATGATCCTAGTGATCTCACTATGATCACTAGTGATCTCCAACGATCCCCAGAAATCATCAGTGATCTCCAGTGACCACCAACAATCCCCAACCATCAACAAGGATCATCAAGCATCACCAACCTCACCAAAGATCACCAGCGTTCACCAGCGATCACAAGTGATCTCGAACTAACACCAGTCACCAGCAATCACTATCGATCACCAGCGATCTCCAGTGATCACCAGTGGTCACCAGTGATCACCAGTAGCCCAACAGATCACACCACCACCAGTAGCTGGTCGGTTCCGCCCCGCGTCCCTCCCCGGTCGTCGCGGGGGGGGGGGGGGGGGGACCAGGGGCGGCGGCGGCGGGGGGCCGTCCGCTGGATTAGTCCGCACCATCTGACCTAATCAGTGGTGCCTGCCGTTCCTCCCCGCCGCGCCGGCCGCCGGCTAATCGCCGCCCGGCGAATTCCGCCGCGCTGCGACAAATACCGTCAGATTACCCCCGCGCGCCGAGACCGGCCCCACTGGGACGCAGCGCGACGCGACGCGACGCAACCAGAGGGCTCGGGACCGCATGCTGAGCCCCACCTCTGTGCCACGTCCAGCCGGAGAACCAGCGCACACAGCTCACACACACACGCGCAGACACGCACACACACATGCACCAGACATGAAACCGAGACCGGCTCTTCTCCACATCAGCCCGGAGTTCATTTCAGTGCGGTGGGAAACATCAACAGTCTGTGCTCTGTGCTGTTCAGCCTGCGGTGGGACACTCAGGGAAGCAGGAAGGAGCAGGGGTCCAGGAGGGGGTCCTTGGCAGCTGTACTTACCACCGTAATCAGCCGTTTGACACACATTGGCTACGGTAACTCAATGGCCCCAGATACCCGAGAGGCGGCACCGGGTAGGCAGGAGTGTGGAAATCAAGCAACTGACATAATTACAGGTTTTGCATAATGGCTGTTTTCCTGGCAAACTAGTGAAAGCACTGTAATTCTTGCGGCCGAATAGGACTGTTATTGATTTTGTGATCAGTGCGGAGGGGCGACACTTAGTGTCGGCAGTTGTTTCAATAATTTGACCCACCGTCTAATTTGAAATGAAATCATCCTCGGCGAAAATTATAGGGGATTAGAGAAGGGTGCTTCGATCCAAATATAAGGAAATATACATATTGAAAACGTCAATTTGAAAACAAACTTGGCACAGTAGGTACATGGCAAACGGCAAACAAATAACACCAAGGAAACATCCAACTGAAGAAAAGAAGCGCCTCTTTCGAGGGAACTGTTCATTTTAGGGCAGAATCAAATAAAGCCAACATAAAGACAACATTAACAAGCAGCGAAATACTAACTTGTCTGTCTCGGGAGCATGGCCCAGAAATGATTTCACGCTGCCGCCAATAGGATTTGCTCGACTTTTTCGGCATCTATAACGAGAAAAGCGAAGTTGTGTGAGCAGCTATACCACTCTGTGGTTCTGGCATACTGCCAGCGGGCGGGGGAGGGGCGTCGGGAGTACGGATTACGCGTGTACGCTCCAGTTTGTGTGGGGGTTGATGTGTGAGGACTTACACTTGTGTTGGCTTTCAGTCACAGTGGATGGGGTCAGATCACAGTTCACAGTTTACATACATCGAGTGACACAGCAGTGCATAACGCTGTGCGCTGTCGCTGTGGCGGAACACATCAAAGACGCGAATGTTGTAACCAGATCGGAGTACAGTCACTCTTTCACATTGGTATCGGATGAAATAGTATATAAGGAGAATATTTAGGAAGTGGGGAAATGTTTTGTGGTGTCATCATAGCATACCACCAACACAATATCCGCTGTCAAATTACGATGAAATAAATATTCACTTGAACTTAAATGACGTATTTCTTATGTTTTTATCGAACAGACAACAGGGTTTCGTTACTGATTCAAATTGGAGCATGGTTGTCGCTGAATAAATGCTGACAATGCCAGCCCAGCAAAAAAAGGCCCGACTAAGTATGTAGACCTGATGCTATATGGGCAGGACACTGACCAGACACGTCCTTTATAGCCCACCAGACAGCGCGGCGGACCATGTTGGACCACGACAGACCACGGGGGACCGAGGTGACGCAGGACCATTAAGGTCGACTCCAACACCACTGACCGGACATTCCTTCTCCTGAGAAGTGGAGAGTCCTGCCGGCCGGCTGAGTCAGCCGCCTGAGTCGCGGTGAGTTCTAGCGGCCAACTGAGTCGCGGTGAGTTCTACCGACCGGCTGAGTTACGATGAGTTCTGGGCGGCCGGCTGAGTAAGTCTGCCGAGTTGGCCCCTGAGCCGGGCGGTCGTGTGCCTCTGTTACGGGCAGTGGTTCCACCAGCCGTGTCTCTCACGGTAATACCCCTTTACAGGGGGATGGAGGGGAGGGCGAATGCTGCGTCATTCTTATCCCAGAGCCAATGCCACCAGGCTCCGCCGCCGCCGCCGCCGCCGCCGGCGGGCCAGCCGGTGCGGCGCGGTGCGGCCCTCTCCCCGGTCCCCGTGGGGCCAGGTGCTACCACCGGACACGGGCCGGGAGCCCCGCAGTGCCAGCGCGGTCCCACCGGCCTGCCGCGCCACCAAAATACAACCCGAGCACGTGCAGCGGTCGGTGGGCCGCCACAGCGCACAAACAGCGGGTGGAGTAAACCGAGGACACGGCGGCTGGTGGTGGAGAGAGGACAGGCCGGTTGGACTGGCGCGGCGGCAATCCAGGCGTGGGGAACTCCAGACCAGCCTGACTGGCGCGGTCCATACAGCTGGGGACATCAGACCAGTCCGATCAGCAAAAATCCAGCTGGAAGGGCACAGGATATTCGGACCGGTGGTCTCTGATCACCAGCGCGTGAACAAGCCACTAAGCAGCAGGACTGCCAGCAGCCAGCCGCTGACCAGTGCCTCATCAGCCAGCCATCACGAGGTGCCGTCATCAGTGGTCTCGATTCGCTAGCAGCTGACAACCAGCAGCTAGACCAGCAATGGGAACAGTTGGCGCAGTTACAGACCAACTGTCCGCAGACCAGCGGACCAACAGCCTGCAGTCAGCAGTCACAGATCATTAGATCGGTGTCTAGCCAGCATAGGACTAACCAGTAGCCACTGGCTAGCATATCGAAAGGGAACGCTCTTCTTCCAGCAGCTCAGTAGAGCTCAGCCCGGCAGCCCACTGAGGCTCAGCTCAGCAGTTGGTAGGGCTCAGCCCAGCCCAGTAGGGCCCAGCTCAACAGTTGTGGGCCGTAGTCCATTATAACTCAGCTAGGCAGCCACGCACCCGGCCAGCAGTTTTGTTGACCAGCGATAACCAACAGACTGGGTGAGAATTTATAAATCACTGGGACTGGCTCACAGGTCACAGCTATTCGAGTAAAACTGTGAAGTGTGCACCTACCCATAAATAAAGTGAGAAACCACTCAAGTGACAATAAGCTACCGAGTATAGCACATAAAATATGTTGCGTGCAGCACGTTGCACAAGCCCTTTGGTGCACACCTGTTCCTCGTAGCACCACATGTGCCTGATTCTGACAAAACACGATTAGCGACAATAACGGCTAGTGCCACACGTGGGGAACCATACGCAGCACGTGACCTGACCAACTCGTTACAACATTCATCTGACTCCCACGGCAATGTGATTTAGGATACAGTGGAGCGGCCTCGGCAGCTTATTGCACGTTTAAACCCATTCAGTCACCATAATTTGACATAATTTCCATAAAAAGATAAAAATAATTTAAATACCCTGCATTTTGATAAGCCTTATACGTTGCAGCAAAAAATAGGTGACCCACATTCCGCTCTCGGGGAGGGACGGACCGCACACATGTGCACAGCCACGTACACAGTGTCAATGTCGCGATAACGCAGGACGTCATGTACCGCGCCCGGTCACTGAGGTCGAGGGGGGCACCCCTCCCCTGCTGTGCACAGAGCTGCGTGCACACGTGCACTGAGCCGGAAACGGTGGCGACAGGCCGCGTCCGCCGCGCGCATACCGCTCCGCAGTATCAGTGGGTTTTTAGAAATATTGAATTCCAGGCTTTGACCCATAAAACTCACACATCGACCTGTGCACACCTCTGACAAAGTCAAGCCCAACAGGCTTTGAGGGATGTGGCAAGCATCAGATGAATCTTTAAAATTGCGAGAATATATTTGGAACAAATGTAAATAATTCGCCATTATAACTGTTGTATAAGTTTTCAATTGAAAACCTAATCCACAAGGAAGGGAAAAAAATTGCTAGTATCAGAGGTATTACTTCGATTTACCACTTCTGGCAATTTACAAACCACAATGCGGTGATCTGCCTGCGCTGAGCAGCACGGCATTGCACGAGCCGCCCGCTAAGTGATACTCCCCTGATCATCACCAACCATTATCACCTCATCCTATCAGTTATTCACGCGCAGTTTCATCGTGCGCCGAGCGCGTCCTATTGTGCGGCAACACACCCTCTGGGGCAATTTTCTGACTTTAATATCGGCCGCCCCTGGTCATTAGGGAAATGCGCCATTTGGTCGTGGCCGCGGCTCGCCTAAGTGGCGTCAGGCGTGAACCCCGCTCTGTACCGGTCAGGTCTCATCTGGCCAGGGCTCAGCAGAGATACTGATCGCTCGGCGGGAGGCTCGCGTGATCTGCAGTGATGATATTCATCCAAATTTATCCCACTGATAAATAACGCGCCGCGGGGGCGGACGGGCAATAGCACTAGAGGTGGCCGCGCCATGTGCTAATCTTATTAAGCGTTTCGGTACTTAAATTCTCATCTAGCACACTAATGCCAGTCCTTTGCGTTTTGCATTACTATGCAGCGATTAACACCGGCAGGTTTTATATTGAATTATAAAGTCATACACGTGCAGGGGCTGTGGTTAGCGCCGGTTCCATATATCAACAGACACCGCCTTTAGGCAGATTCGGCACGTTAACTTCACTGGCTCACCTCATGTACCGTATGGTAATGTGCATTGAACACCCGCCTCGAGGGCACTGCCGAGTTATAGGAATTCCATGTTCATCACATCATGATACATCTCAATTTATGCAACAAATTACCTGGAATACTTTGCACTTGTCCTCACCCCACAGCACAGATAATAGAGCATTTTCTTCTGGGAAATGTGTTTGACCAAAGATTTTGTGTCATTTCTCAATTGCACTCCATAACTTTAGGACCAGCGAATGAATAACTACCTGGTCAGTGGTCAGGGTCAGCTTAATCACCCAAAAACCTACCGACAATAATTACAGATGTGTGCGCGGGCCGGGTTCGGTGGGAGAGGCGTCCCCGTGGACTCAGGGGCGGTCCGGGGGCGGAGACGGCGCCCTGCTAACCAGCACCCCGTGGCTAGCAGGCCGACCCAATGATAGGAATTTAGACCGACCCGGCGCAGACGGCGCAGACTGGAAGCGACGACGGTCGAGCCGGGTACTCATCCAGGGAATGACGGAAAATTGGGCCGACATGTCCTCCTCGGACTGGGCTCGGACACAAATTGGGCAAAGTCGGCAGATGATCGGACAGACACATGTATCGGACAAACTGGACAAAGTCGGGGAGGATTGGACAAACGATGTCCGACATGGATCGCACCAAGGTCGGATAATGCCGGACAATGTCCGAGGTGGATCGGACATTAGGCGATTAATGCTGGATGCTGGCAGAGAAGTGTGCTGAAATGACGAATTATGTCGGAGCGCTACTTAATTTCGTCTTGATGACAAGCACTGCCCTATCTGTTAATGTCTCTTTGAAAATGATATAGTGAATTAAGCGTTTGATGGTGCACTGTATGTGTATGCAAAATTTCCATGCTGTATAGATCTAGAAAAAAATTATCAAGTAAAGCAGGCCCAAAATCTGAGTCCCATCTAGCCTCCACTCTCTGCTGGGACAGCCACGACGCTCCGACCTTCCGACCGCTCGGGCCGACCGCGCCGCTCGGCGTCGGCTTTCCCGGCCGGTCGGCGGCCGAGCGGCCCGAGCGGAACCCAGGCGACGGAGCTCCGGTGGCCGAGCGGGGAGGGAGCTCAGAGGAGAGCACTGGTGCTCCGAGAGTCCACCACTGGCATGGCTCAGCGAATGGCTGAGTGTGTAAAGAGAGAATGGTCGAGCTTCTGGGCGAAGTCGGGCTAAATTTTTAGTTTTAAGTAAATTCAGCAAGAAGATGGTAGATTAATTTTTAGCAGATAATTATCTACAACTTGTGTTAATTATAATTTTTGCTGTGACCGTTGCTGTGACCGTTGCTGCATTTAAATGCCTATCGATACCCCTTTCATCTATAGCCTATAACTTGTTCGCCCCATGATATATAACCATTATTTGTCGAAAAGATCGGGCTAGTCGAAATGTTATCCGCACATCGCTCCCTAGAACACACCTCAGTGCAAATATCCCTCCGCCCTCACCGGTGGAGCCTGAGATTCGGAAGCCGGCCCTCGTATCCTGCCGGCCGGTACTGGAGGGAGGGTCAGGTTACCTCAGCAAGTGTCGAATGAACCACAGAGGACCCGCACTGCGGGACTCCGAGAAAGACGCCGCACGACGCGTCTCTGAGCTGGTTTTTGGTGGCCGGATAATCCAGCGTGTTTACTCAGCAGGAGATACGTATTTAAAAACAAGACTGGTGTTCGACATTTTATATAGTGTTGGACGGAACCAAGCTGCTTTCAATTGTACAATGGTTGCCTTCAATCAAAGCTGCTCATGGCTCATTCGGATGTCATTTTGCATTTTGCAGGACGGGTCAAATCGTCCGGCATTAGCTCATAGTTCAACTGAGGTCAAATAGATGATTAATATGTAAAACCAATGCTGAAAATGCGGAAAGCAACATCTATTTTTACTTCTGAAACTACCAAAACTATGGCTTCTTTGTCATTTCGTCAAGGCTGGCATTCTACTTGCAGGGGACCGTTTTGGGAGTGAAAGATGTGTCAGGCCGCAATTCCCGGCCTGATCTGAGGGTGGTGAAGGATGGATCCGGGCTGGGACATAGAAGGGTGGTGATGTCACATCTGATCATGATAGAATGAGTCGTGCTTCTGATAGGACACCGACTGGGACATAGGACGGGCCGTACTGTCCGCGTCTGCTCAGTCCAGGAGACAGCGGTGGCGGCGGCGGGTGACGGCGGCCCGCCCCACCTGACCGGCAGACTCGGCCCCCACCGGACCGGCCGGTGACACCAGGAATGTCGCCTCTAATTGCGTCCGATAACCCTTGGACGGCGCTCGCCAGACGTCAACTACCCTCAAACGACAGGGAGGTTCACCGGCAGGTCATCGCCTGGATCGGATTCTACCCCGCCCATGAACCGAGTAAGGACCGCGCAAGGAGGAATCAAATAGGGGATTGAGAAGATCGAGTAGGGGGTCGAGTAGAGACCCAGGGACCTATGGACCATCGCGGGACCACCGGCTCAAACGGCCACCCAGCCCGGATTAACTGACGACCTGAGTCGCTCCGCGCGTGTCAAACTTGGCGACAAGTTTGGCGCCGTTCGGACCGGGCCCCGACCCGCCTGTCTACAGGAGGTGCCCCCGGTGATTGACCTGGCTGGTATCATCAGTTATTCATAATGAGGTGTCAGCACCACCTGATGGACAGCCTGGCGGAAATTAATTTCGGTTATCAATTGGTGTGATTCCGTTCCCAGACATTGCTCTATTATTTAGGCAATTACTGGGGCGCTGTCGAGCATCTGTTGATGCTTGTCGGTCAATTGGTGGCGTTTTACGAGGGTCGTGGGGCTGCTGATTTGATTAGGCTCCTCGGGGCCGCGAGCAGCGCTCGCTCGATGTCGGTACTCGTGTCATTCCGCCTAATGGGCTGCGGCGGCGGGAGGAGCGGCTCCTCCCGGGCGGGACGCGCCGTCAGAGATCGAGCGAGGGGTGTCCAGACACGGGGCAGACTGACAGCGCCGAATTAGCGGCGTGATTCTACCGAGCAGACCCGGCACGGGACGGGATTATACCAATCACTCCGGGATGGTCCTTAGGGGAACAGGGGGTCCAGGGGACCACACTGGGCGGTCAGGGGTCACCCCAGGAGGCATGGGTGATCCCTGGAGGAACTTTTAGTAAGGTTTGTGACAGTCTTTGTGGTTGTCAGCAGCAGCTGACTGGTCTCTCGACATGAGACTCAGTTTTGAGATATTGACTGGACCAAACTTTGGTGCATTTTGACATAAGGTGATGGTTTCGGACCAGGTCTGTGAGGATCTCTCAGGTATCATACGGACTCTACCCTACCTGCGGAACTCAGAGCGTGTTTAGACAGACCGAGACGGACCCTCACGACCCTCACACTAACCTGTACTTGTAGTCGGGGTACTCCTTCATGTGCACCGCCCGTAACCTCTTGGCCTCGTCGATAAACGGCCGCTTGTCGGTGTCGTTCATCAGCTTCCACTCGGCGCCCAGACGCTTCGAGATCTCCGAGTTGTGCATCTTGGGGTTCTCCTGGGCCATCTTGCGCCGCTGGCCGCGCGACCAGACCATGAACGCGTTCATGGGACGCTTCACGCGGTCCGCCGCCGCCGCCGCCGCCGCCGCAGCCGAGCCCGACAGCTTGCTGTTGTTGTTGTTGTTGGTCGACTGCTGCTGCTGCTGCTGCTGTTGCTGCTGTTGCTGCTGCTGGGGTTGCTGTTGCTGCTGCTGCGGTTGCTGGTGCTGGGAGGTCGGCGGCGGCGGCTGACCGGCACTTGGAGGGACCTGAGTCAGCCCGTGAGAGATTGGCGAGTGCGACGGGTGGCTGATGTGCTGTGCGTGGTGCGACAGCGAGTGGTGGCTGGGCGGCATGTGCCCGATGCCGCCCTTCAGGTCACCCTCCATAGTTAACATGGTATCCAGATAGTCGCGGTATACTCGTTCGTAAGCCACTTTTGCCACTTTGCACTGCACTGGCTTGCCAAACACACTCCTTGCTTTTCACGTACAATTTAATATGCACTCCAATAAGTAAGTTTTGCACACAGATTCAATAACACCCAGAGCGCCGTATTGTACGTCCGCTCCTATTCAATACGCTCTATTATTTGGTGGTAATGTGCCGTTCAGATGTTGCGAGGGAATAACCAGCGCTGGCGGCCGGCCAATGGCCAAGCGTCTGGCGGCCGAGGGGCGGAGCGAGCGTGACGTCAGCGCGGTGGGCGGAGCCAGCGAGCCGTGGAATGCGGCTGGTCGGCGGCCGGCTGGCGACGGCCGGGTTTTTACGGCGGCCCAGGTCGCCGGGCGAGATGCGGCCGGGCGCTGTGATTTTTCTCACGTCCCAATTTGACGGACGGCAGAATGATTGCGGTGCAGCTGGCGTGGCGTCGCTCGGGCCCGGCGGCGTCGCTCGGTCCGCTGTGCCGGCGGCGATTAATGGCGCTCCTGGCGAGAGGAGCGCGTCCCACCGGTCCCACGCAGCTGCTCTCCACGACTGACTTCACTGGCAGGGCCGCCGCGCGGACCAGCACCCCCTAGCGACGCGGCGCGGCACCTACCTACGGCCGCCGATTTGAGGGAACTGCCCAGACGCCACACCGCCCTCAGCTGCCCAGTTCAAATACTGTGGTGGCCAACGCTGCCGTATCGTCTACTACGTGCTCCTTTACTTTCGGACATCCCTTTGTGGGTGATAAGTCCATAAGCCACCATTCAAAACCGGAGTTCAATGGCTCGCCCCACGGCACATTGGCGCCTACAATACGACACAATCAAACGGGCATCGCTTTTGTAGCGGCATTAGTACCACTCTGCGTATGTCGACTTAGATGCGGCCTATTGTCCAGCCTCGAGTGGCGGGGGTGCGATTATTAGCCGGTGCTTGCTTCAAGTAAGAGCGCACACTATCGCTGAGTACCTTATCGTTTTAGATAGGCTACCTTACATGGATTATGTATGGGACACAAATATTCTGAAACAAACGTTTCATCGACCGCTGATTGTCGAGCGTTTCTCCCAGGGTATATTCAACAAAAAGGTTATTTCGCCAGGCATATTCACAACAATAAGTTAGGTAAGGTAGAATATACATTAGGCACATCAATGCTATAAAGTTAGCTGCACTTGCCTAACCTAACTTATTTACGTGAGGTCTCTTATTCCGCGTAAGGTGCTGCTAGCGACACCTGTGGAACGGGATGCGAACTACAGGCACACTTGTCGTACGATATTCGTGTGTCACGGTTTCATTTTTTATGAGGGTCATTTTTTATTCACCTACGAGCAATAATTAATTCATTGAAACACTTAATTTCTTCCAACATAGGTGGTGTTCTCAAAATTTAAAGATTCGGAAGACAAAGGTAGGAAACTGCACCACTTTACAGTGTCGACACTTTAAACGATACATAACGGTGCCGTTTAAAGTAAGGTTAATGTTAAAAATGTAGTTCATCCCTCCAACAAGCGGGCCTTCATGATCTGCAGCTATTCTCCGTTAGTTATAACATATTGCCGTGACAAATTCAGGCGAATGCTTAGGCATTCATTGATAGGAGGCCTGGATGTCTTTGTTAGATGGGCTGTCTTTGAACCGATTTGATTTGTATACGAAATAATCCATTTCATTCCTGTCGTCTCCTAGCTCCCATCCGCCTGTCGTGGCCGTCATGTAAATGTCATTGGGGTTGTTGTGAATCCAATCGCAAATGCATCAAGTTTTTCTTTAACAACATGCGATTAATATGTATTTGCATTTCTCAAATGCCAATAAAATGAGTGGAATTTTCGGAGATATATTCAATGTCTTGCTGTGAATCGAGTGCATGCTGACACATGATAAATGCAAACACATTGGATATTTTAGAGCCTCGAAAAGAAAACAATACCATCTCATTTTGTAGCGCTCAATGTGAATGCAGCGATTAACCCGCGCCCCACTGGGGTCTGCGTATAACACGCCCTACTGGGGGGGGGGGGGGGCTATTCATAGCCCCCCCTGCTAACTCCGAAACTACTGGGCCGATCGTCAAAATTCAAACGGCGTCTGATAGCCCCGGAAAAACTGTCGAGCGAAACCTAATTTCATTGACGTCGAGGTCACTGATGACGTCACAGGTCAGGTCAAAGTAAAAATTATTAGCATTTTGGCTTCTTCACGTTTTGGGCTCTGGCCGCCGTCTTACAAGTCAGAGCAGGCTCATTTTTGGTTCACACACTCGTGAACAGATGCTCTAGATACTCTGAGGGTACCAAACTTGTACTTTGATTTTCAGGTCAAGGTCAGGTCATCACAGGTCACGAAAATATTATATCATGCGTCGGTCACGTGACACATGTTTTATGGTCCATTTAGGCCAAACATTTCGAATTTGATGTCGTCTGTGTCATTCGAGGTCATTTTGAGTCAAATTTCGCTTAGGTCAGGTCACTTTCAGGTCAAAAAAGGTCAAATTTTGAAGTTTATATTTTTCAACAAAAAAGGTGTCTATTGGATGCAGTTTGAGCTCAGGAACACGATGGTGCTATTTATATTGGCGTACGATGTCAAATTCGTGCTGAAAAATTGATTTGAAAAATTAATAATTGTTAATTTTTTACAATAATGCGTATAACTTGGCCATTTTTGAAGATATTTAGCTTAACTTGCTAGAGTTAGTCATAATAATGCGTTCTATCACATATATTCCGGTTTTTTCGAAAAGTCAAAAGGTTTTTGAAAAAAATGTAAAAATATAAATTTTGAATTTTATTATATAAAATTTTCGAAATTTTCAAAATTTCGAAAATCCGAGATAGCAGTTTGATAGCGCAGTCTATTCTGAGTCCTCTCATGCAAAGAAATTGGATCTAGCTTAAAAACTAAGCTCTTAGGGGCGATTGCCGTGGTTCAATGTTTTGCGTCGAAATCGGCCGAACATGACGTCACTCTGACGTCATTTCCGGCCAACCTATGGTAGATACGAAGTTGAAATTTTGACACAAGGTGTCAAATTGATGCAGCCAAAGGTACTGAAAGTTTGGCGTCGATACGTCAAGCGGTTTGGAAGTTATTGCAGAAAAACGGGAGGGGGGCTATAAATAGCCCCCCCCCCCAGTGGGGCGCGGGTTAACTCGCTTCCAGTGTTGTGATTCTTTTCATTCATTGTACGGATGAACTATGGAAACATATTGGTAATCGTGTGCATTGAACCTGAAGCGTTAATGCCATTGACTGTGCACTGATGGTTAATGCGAGCCATTTGTGTTTCCCTTTCTCGCCTAATCATTTTAGCGACACAGCGAGGGCGTTCGGGGGTGTACTAACACAACCAAATGAGCGGATGCTAATTTGATTCTTCTCAATTAAATCTGAGTGAGGTGAATTGCATTCGTTAGGCATACAGTCTGGCTCTTCAGTCGGTTGGTTCTGGAAAACGTCACTGCCCATTTTTATCTGATTTATTTTGTGGAAAGATAATCGTGTTGCGATACGAGACCCTCGATCTGGTTCATGCTGTTCACAGGGTCATCATACCCTGAAGGTAAGAAGTGGATTTTAAACGGTATTGTTATTGCGCCATTTTTACCCTGCTCTTATGTTGCCCTCCCATAGGTTTTTACCCTGCCCTATGTTGTTTGCTGCCATAATCAATGCCTAACTAGTCCAATTAAGTTGTCTTGATATATGTGTCATATAATACATTTAGACAAAATGTCTGCACCCAAAACAGGACACTTTTATTGTTTTTTTTTCATGATTGCATGAAGTCAACTTTAAATCGTTTTGAATAGGTAAGTACATATAAGGAAACGACAAAATAAGAAGCCAACAAGGCACGTAACAAATGGCCTGGCAGGCGAGCTCAGAGGCTCATCTCTCCGTCCAGCTACCATGCACCAATGTTTGGTGTAATAATCCAATGAAGCAGTTGTTTGCAAGGCAGCACTCGACATCTATAACTCGCCTTTAGAAATTCTACAACAAATTAACAAATTAACACAAATACAATAATTAGAAATTAACCGAAGCTGAACTGCTTTTCTCAAGGGCAGTTCCATCGGGCTTTATTTCATTTATTTAATCAATCATATTAATCAAGCGAAATGAGCTAAACCGGAAGCTAGGAAACTAAGCGCAGCGTGTTTATAGCTCAGTGAAGCTTAGCACAACTCAGCGCAGAGTAGCACATCTCTACGTAGCTCAGCGCGACTCAGCACCTAACCATGCAGCTCAGCCGGGCTCCATTGGAGCAGCTCCCTCCCCGGGCTGCGCAGCTAAGCCCGGACGCCGCTGCCAGCTCAGCTCCGCGCAGCTGCGAGCGACGCATTGCTGCGCAGCCTCGTCGAGCCCGACGGCAACGACGGCTTCGTCGGCAACGACGGCCGGGCACGAGCAACGTCGCTCCGGAAACGCCGCATCCGGCGCCGTCCCGAGAATAATCTAATAGTCGCCGGCCGATATGGTAGTCGGCATTTTTATTGCCGACGGCGCGGCGGCAGATTTTTTCCACTTCCGGCAGAAATCCGGTGCCGTCGGCCATAATGACGGCCACAGAGGGCGGTCGACGCCCAAGTCGCGGCGAATTATGCGCGCCGCGCCACTGCCGCTGCGCCGCACATACGGTGGCTATTGTGACGCGCTGCGCCACGGCGCCGTGGCAGGGCCGCTGTTTTGGTGGACGGCGGGATCGATGGTGACCCGATGACGGATTGTGATAGGACGCCACAGACGGAGCCGTGATGTGCACCTGACAGAAAAGTTTGATACCTTTTATTAGTTAAAAACATGATCAAAATGTAATGTTGCTGAAGCAGAGCTCAAATTTTACCTCAAGTGCTTCTTCAAAACGAATGTAAAGATAATTTGAGTACATAGGTTACGCCGTAGCGTGCATGCCGGAAGTTTTCAAAATTGTTGCAAGGCTCACAATTGCGAGGTTGAAAAATGTGGCTCATAGCCGGCATATTAATTCATTATTTTTTACAGACTTCAATTAAATTCTACATAAACTAGTGGAAGAATCAACCATTTATTTTAGCTAATGGTATGTTTTAAAAAATGTCCAGCAGCGAATATTAAGCCAGATATTCATAGGCATTACGCATAAACAAAGTGTTATATCGTTACGTGCAGCCTAAGCTCCATAGATTTTGTATAAGCATAAAGAAGAACGATAGAAGCATAAAAGAAGAAAGGGGCAAAGGTTAAGCATCGTAAGAAAGATAAAACAAAATTGCAAGGTTTCCTTTTATCACAGCATGATCCTCTACAGTCTACACATCCAATCAGCTCGTATATTTCCTCTCATTTTTACCGTCCCCACCGTCGGCCGCCCGCCCGTCGTCGGTCGCCCGCCCGTCGTCGGTCCGTCGGTAACGTCGGCAGCGACGGGTAGCGCGCGCGCCGACGGCCGGTGCCCCTCCTCCGCCGACGCACCGAGCACATCAATTGGTCGCCGCCTAATCCCGGCCGGCAAAAACAAAAGGCCAATCGTGACCGCGTCCGGCGGCACGAGCACGCCAGAAACAATGGCGGAAACGCGCCCCAAAAACGCGCCTC